GATGGTTCTTAGTAGGGGTTGTGGAGATGGCACCTGTAAGCCCAACTGACATTCTTGCCACAGAGACCCCCTCAATGAATGTTATGGTGCCCCCCTTGCTCAATGCCACAACTCATGTTCCCAATTGATCAATGCTGTAAATGTACTTGATTTTGACACACAACCACCATGTCAACAAGAGGGCAATGAATGCAAACACAAGACACACCTATAGAATCCAAGCATTGCATCCACAATCTGTTGCTCTTAGATGAGCAATACACAAGGAACACAATGTTGCCCCCCTCCCTCTCTGTTCTCTCTTCTTTCTCACCTCCCCCAACATTCTCTGCAATTTTTCCAAGGTCACCTTCAAATTTTGAAACACATTTGGCAACATTTCACACTCAGCCAAACATTTCAAAGCTGCAACAAAATTGTGCTGACGTGTGGGAGCGATCGCCCGACAAGACCCACGATGGATGTGTCCTCTTGGTTTTTTCTGGGGTTTGATTCGCTGCGGCTTGTCTTGGCAAAACAAAAAGCACATGCGTGCATCTCGCTCTCTTAAACAAAAGATGGAGGCCTCATCGCAGGAGACCACGCCGGTGCAACCTCAGGAAGTAGCGGGCGAGGCTGCGCCCCCCACGAAGAGGAGGGAGCCCATGTCCTATGCGAAGCGCGATTTTTTGATTTCGATCGAGAAGGAGATTGCCAAGGATTGGGAAGAGACGAAGCTATGGGAGACGGATGCCCCCAAGGAGGGCGAGGCGGATCAGCCCAAGTATATGGTCACGTTCCCGTACCCTTACATGAACGGCCACCTTCACCTGGGCCACACCTTCACGTTGTCCAAGGCCGAGTTCGCCGCCGGCTATCAGAGGCTCAAGGGCAAGAGGGTCCTCTTCCCCTTCGGGTTCCATTGCACAGGTATGCCCATCAAGGCTTGTGCCGACAAGATCAAGCGTGAGATCGAGCAGTTCGGATGCCCACCCAAGTTCCCCGCGGTGGCTGTCGGTGTGTATCTGCCCGCCCACACACACACACACACACACGCGTGTTTGATTAATTGTTAAATTGTTTATTCGTTTTCGTGTGGCTTTCCGTGCAGGCGAGACCACTGCCGCTGAGCCCGTTCCCGAGAAGAAGAAGAAGAAGAAGGCCGAGCCCACCGCTTTCCATTCTAACAAGGTAGCGCTAAGTCCTTCATCCCCAAAGCGGCGCGTCCTTGAGTGTGGTCTCTCTGTCTCATCAATGTCATTCTCGTCTTCACACCTCAACAGTCCAAGGCCAAGGCCAAGGGCAGCGGAAGGGACAAGTACCAGTGGGAGATCATGGAAGAGATGGGAGTGCCTGAGAGCGAGATTCCCAAGTTCGCCGATGCCCAGCACTGGCTTTACTACTTCCCTCCTTACGCCATGGAGGACCTCAAGGACATGGGCGCCTGCGTCGACTGGCGTCGCTCGTTCATCACCACCGACGTCAACCCCTACTACGACTCGTTCGTCCGCTGGCAGTTCGAGACCCTCAAGGCCCAGGGCAAGGTCCGGTTCGGCAAGCGATGCTCGATCTACTCCCCGTTGGACGGACAGCCTTGCGCGGACCACGATCGCTCGAAGGGAGAGGGAGTGCTGCCGCAGGAGTACACTCTCATCAAGCAGGAGGTGCTCGGCCCTCTTCCCGAGAAGATGCAAGTGTTGGAGGGCAAGAAGGTCTACCTCGTGCCCGCCACCTTGAGGCCGGAGACCATGTACGGTCAGACCAACTGCTACGTTCTCCCCACCGGTACCTACGGCGCCTACGAGATCAACGACACTGATGTCTTCATCTGCGGAGAACAGGCCGCCAAGAGTACGACCATCACTTTGCGCGTCCACGTCTGTGTGATGACCCGCGTGTGACCTGTGTGAACCCGCCCATGTATTCGTTCACAACCGCAGACCTCAGCTTCCAGGGCCACTCCAAGGAGTTCGGCAAGCCTGTGCGCTTGGTAGAGCTTACCGGCCAGGACCTTATCGGTCTCCGCCTCAAGGCTCCTCTTGCCAAGTACGAGGCCATCTACGTGCTCCCCATGCTCTCCGTCTCGCTCGATAAGGGCACCGGCGTGGTGACCAGCGTGCCCAGCGATGCGCCCGACGATTATGCCGCCCTCATGGACCTCAAGAACAAGGCGCCCTTCAGGGCCAAGTACAACGTCACCGACGAGATGGTGCTCCCCTTCGAGGTGGTTCCCATCATCGACATCCCCGAGTATGGCGACACTGCCGCCGTGACGCTTTACAATGAGCTCAAGATCGCCAGCCAGAACGACAAGGACAAGCTCACCATCGCCAAGGACCGCGTCTACTTGAAGGGCTTCTACGATGGCGTCATGAAGGTTGGACCTCACGCCGGAATGTACATTCTCTCCCGTCCGGTTGAAACAGTCGTTTTTTCAATATGGTGGTGCCCTGTGGCTCATTCGGATGATACCATATCTCTCGGTCCCGTTGGCGTTCTGCAGGAAGGTGCAGGACGCGAAGCCTCTCATCAAGAAGGAGTTGATCGACGCAGGTTTGGCCGTCGTGTACAGCGAGCCCGCCGAGACCGTCATTTCGCGTTCAGGTGACAAGTGCGTGTGCGCCCTCACCGATCAGTGGTACATCGCCTACGGTGAGCCCGAGTGGCGTGCCCAGGTACCCTCCACCCTCCACCTCTCTCCGCCCTTCTGCTGGCTGTCTTCTGCTCACTCGCGTCTAACATCCGTCTTGTTCAGGTGGAGGCCGTCTTGAAGGACATGGAGACCTACGGTACTGAGACGCGGCATCAGTTGGAGAAGACTCTCGATTGGTTGAAGGAGTGGGCGTGCTCGCGCAGCTACGGCTTGGGCACGAAGCTCCCGTGGGACACCCAGTACCTCATTGAGTCGCTCTCCGATTCTACGATCTACATGGCCTACTACGCCGTCGCCCACTTGCTCCAGGCCGGCAGCCTCGACGGCTCCGTCACCGGTCCGGCTGGCGTCAAGCCCGAGCAGCTCACCAACCAGGTGTGGGACTACATGTTTGCCCGCGGCGACCTCCCCGCCGAGACCACAATCCCCGTCGAGACCCTCAAGGCTCTCCGCCGAGAGTTCGAGTACTGGTATGTCAGTATTCCTCACCCACCACCACCACCACCACCACCACCACCACCACCGACCTTAGCGATTCTCCGGTGCCGTTCCGCTCACCACCGGAGGGTGGTTTTCTATGTGGGCAGGTATCCATTGGATCTCCGCGTGTCAGGCAAGGATCTGTTCAACCACTTTACGTTCTTCCTCTACAACCACGCCGCCTTCTTCCCCAAGGAGCAATGCCCGCGGAGCGTGCGCGTCAACGGCCACATGCTCCTCAACGGCGAGAAGATGGCCAAGTCGACGGGCAACTTCCTCACCTTGCGCGATGCGATAAAGAAGTACTCCGTGGACGGCATGCGATTCGCCCTCGCCGATTCGGGCGACACTACAGAGGACGCCAACTTCCTCGACGAGACGGTGGACACCTGCGTGCTCCGCCTCTACACGCAGGTCGAGTGGATCAAGGAGACCATTGCCGGCTTGGGCACCCTCCGGGAGGGCGAGCCCACGACCTTCTTCGACCTGGTCTTCCAGAGCGAGATCAACCGCGCCATCACCCTGACCGATGGCAACTACGAGCGCATGAAGTTCAGGGAGGCCCTCCTCACGGGCTTCTGGAACTTGCAATCGGCGAGGGACAACTACCGCCTGGCCGAGAAGCGAATGAACCGGAAGCTCGTGGAGCGGTTCATCGAGGTGCAGACCATCCTGCTCGCGCCCATCTGCCCGCACTACTGCGACTACATCTGGACCAAGCTCCTCCACCGCGCGGGCTCCGTGCGCCAGGCCTCCTGGCCCGCGTCGGGCCCCGTCGACGAGGCGCTCCTGGCCCAAAACGACTTCCTGCAGCAGGCGCTCCACACCTTTTGCATCCGGATCCAGAGCACACGGGAGCAGTTCGTGGACACGGCCAACGGCTACGTCTACGTGAGCGATGAGTTCCCCTCGTGGCACCGGAAGGCCATCAAGGCCCTCCTCCCGCTCTTCGACTCAGCCACCGGCGAGTTCGAGCCCGACTTCAAGAAGAAGATCTCCGACGCCCTCAAGGAGGACCCCTCGCTCAAGCCCGACACCAAGAAGGTCATGAACCTCGTCGCCGACATGCCCAACCGCATCAAGGCCGAAGGAGTCGCCGCCTTCAATCTCGCCGCGTCCTTCGACCAGTTGGCCCTCCTCCACAGCAACCAGGAGTTCTTGCGCGAGAAGCTCGGCCTCGCCGCCCTCACTATTTATTCGGCCTCGGACGCCGACGCCCCCGACCACGACAACAAGAAGGCCACCGCCGTCCCGCTCAAGCCGGTCTTCACCTTCGCCGGCGAGAAGAAGAAGGTCGAGAAGAAGCCCGCCGCCAAGAAGCCCGCCGCCACTCCCAAGAAGATCCAAAACCCGCCTAAGAGCGCCAACTAATCGTTACCCTTGCCTCCGGCCGAACCATCAAGTTTATTGTCACCCAACACGCACATTTTCCTCTTTTTTTTGCTGTAAACAGCACTCTCAGTACTTGAAGCTCGCAATGGGTTGTTTATGTTGGAGGTTCTTTCCAGAAGTTCGGCGTGTTTGAGTGGCTGACTCGCGAACGGATTGCGCCGCTTCACCGGAGGATTGAGCAAGAACGGATCCGTGGCTCGGTGGATCGCCAACGCCGTTCACCCCGGCCGCGATCCAGGCGATCCGATCCGGCCACTCGAATCCGTTGGCGAGCATCCACTGGAGGATCTCGACTTCGTCGTTCAGGGTGACGACGCGACAACGTCCCGCAATCAGCGGCACACTCCGGCGATCGGAGGGCGGCATCAACCGTCGCCGATCACCATCCGCAACTTTGCTTCCAATCATGTCGTCCATCTCGTGGTGCGCAGAGAGTTTATTTTTGTTGGCAAGCAAAGGCGATGGCCTGTGCATGCATCGCGTCCAATAGCTCGGCTTAGGCATCCTTCAGGATCCAATCGGCCAGATCCTGAATGAGAGACACGATTTCGTCGACCAAGGGGCGTTTGTCCACCTCCTCCCATGCCGTGAGATCGATTGGTTGTGATGCTGTCTGGCACACTTTGGCCATGGTGTCCAGCGTGTTGAGGCGGGTGATGATGTCGTGCTTTGTGGATGTGAAGGTCGTCGCCACTTCGTTCATCTTTGCGTGTGCCGATGTGCGCGTGATGTGGTCTCAGCCTTGGCTGCCCAAGTGAGTCCACAAGGCAAATAAATAGCAAAGAGAAACATCTGTTTGGCCATTTCACAACAGGCAGGGACGATGAAAGTGCAGGCAAGATGCTTGAAGGAGTTGCAAAGGTGACAGCACAATTCTTCCTCCACAGATTCAAGCAAGGCGTGGTGGCTGGATGTGCAGTGCTGGCACTGGGTCCATTGGGATTTGCAATGCTGGCCCACACATCTTGGATCCTGGCCTTTGCCCTGTTTGGATGTGGATCTCTGATCATGGTGATAGAGCTGTGGCCCAAGACCAATCCAGTCTACTTGTGGATTGCAGCTACACACTTGGTTCTCTCATGGTGGGCCTTCTGATGATCTGAAAACCAAAAATCATGGCTCTGATTGGCTGATGTGTTTATTGTAGCATGGGAGTGTTGGTGATTCATTACAGCAAAATTTGAATGTCCAAGATGTTGGCCAACCAGGAAGATGGTATGGCTGCCTCTGTTTACTGTGATCATTTGTTTTCATGGCAGCCCTGGATCTGATGGTGATCTGACAATTGGCATTGCTTGGGATTGTGAAGTGCAGAATCCTGAGGAGGATCTTGTTGGGTATGTTGTGTGTTGTTGTCATGGGGTGTGGGTTTATTCTTGAATGCACTGACTGTGCATTGTGGATGGCGATCAGCAATGCTGGATGCTGCCTGTTGATTACTGGCGTCCTGCATGTGCGCAGTCCCAAGTGGTGTGATCTATGGTGCAAAACCCTAACCTCATGAATGCCTCACTGTTGATGATGGTGTTGTAATCCAAGGTGATGATCCAGTCCAGGATGCAAAATCACAAAACTGAATTGACACATTGCAGCCTGCTCATGAGTACATAAGGAGATCTTGTGGTGCTGTAGGGGAGCACCATTCTGCCCAAATGCTGTTCTTAAAGAACACAGAATATCCCTAACCAGTTCATCACACTTGTGATGGCCCAAGTGATGACATCCCAGCAGCTGTGCATTTTAACAATTGGCAATGGCACAAGTTTCTCAATTGCTGCAATTTTAGACTTCCCCTGTCAGATCACCTTGATTCCATGGTGGTACACAGTGAGGATGTATCCAGATGATTGTATGTGGAGATGTGAGATCATGCTCCATGGCATGCATGATGATGTCATCACACATGATGCTATCATTGTTGGCCAACACAATGTTGTACAGTTGCATGAGTTGCTGGTTGGACATGTGTTGCAGCTCCATATTCTCAACACAAATGAGACTAACTCCACATTCCTGGCATACCTTTAATTTAGAATTTTAAAATATTATTGCAAGTGTACATGCACGCCTCCTCCCGTACGGGGTTCAAGTCTTGCCCCAACGTCTGTGTCTCTGGAGGTCTTGGGGAGGACACTTTTCTGGTGTGATTGGAAGAAATTCCAGAGATTATCCTTGACTTCACACTGCCCGACCATGCCTGCCCAACAAGAATGGGCTGAGCAGGTGCATAAAACAGAAGAATGCACTGACATGAAGCTCACTCGTCTCCTGCGTCACTGCTGGCTGGTGATGGGGCTGGCGGTGGCTGCACCGGTGAACTGGTTGAGGGTGAACGTGTAGAGCGAGAGGTTGCCGTCTTGGCAAGCCGTCGCGGGGAAGACGAGGCATTTGCCCAGCAAGGCGTCGGTCACTAGCATGGGAGCGCCGAAGTTCACCTGCTGCTCGGTCTGGAGGATGAACTCCAATCCAGTGTCCGTGGTGCTGACCAGCCCGCCAAGGCCCACCACAAAGCCGTCCCAGAAGTTAAAGGCCGGCACAGCCCACGTTGAGGTTCTAGAGAAGTCCTCCACGTCTGATGATATCCGAGAGATGTGAGACGTGTTAGGCCTGTGGCCAACATCAGACAACAACACCGCACGTACACACACACACACACACACACACCGTTTGGGCGTACCTGAGTTAAACACCCACTTGGTGTCACTGAGTGTGCCAGTGAAGCGGGCGGCGTCGCAGTAGGCTCCGCCTGAGCTCGACATGTAGAGCTGGCTTGAGGGGTTGGCCGCCAGCGCGTGAACCTCGCACCCGCCGCTGTTCAAGGTGACATCGCTGGCGAGCTGGCGGAGGTAGACCGAGTCGAGGGTGAAGGTCAGCGTGCAACCGGCATTGTTAGTGGAGCCGCACTGTGTCGCGTTGCGGCTGGGTCCGGCCGCCAGAACGTAGCCCTCGTCCGACGTGATCGCCACCTTGCCGCCTGTGCGCACGGCCAACCACAGGTTCGGTCGTCATCAACCAGACATGGGGAAGAGGAGGAAGTTTGAATGGGTAGGGAGGTGCTTCTTGAACGTACCAGAAAAGGGCAGGCGTACGCCTTCGTAGCTGCCGCGGGCGAGATCAAAGCGCAGCAGGTGCGTCTCCCAGTCGACCGTCTTGGGTTGGGTGAGCAAGTAGAGCGCCTTGGAGCTAGTCACCACGTCGTACACTCGCACCGACCCCAGAGGGTGGAACTATTGACCCCCCCATTAAGTCTCACTGCTTTGACTCATTGAAGCTGGGTCGGGGGCCGTGAAGCTTCTACCTTGAAGGATGGGGAGCCGCCCCAGGGCTGATTAATCTCCAAGACGCTGGACTGGCCGAGGCCGTTGTTGCGAGCGAACACCAGGTAGAGCCTGCCCCCGCTGTAGGCGGCGCCCTGAAGCTGCGCGTTGGAGGCGGCCATGTGGGCCACGGGGTTGGTGCGCAGCGAGAGCGGCGTCTCGGTCGTGCCCCACACGTCAGTGGCGTAGAGTTCGGCCGACGAGCCCAGCGTGAAGATGATGCTCGGCACCCCCGACTGGCCCTGGCCGATGCTTAACGCGCCTGACAGGGCACCGAACGGCTGCTCGAGGCACTCGGCGGCGGTGGTGGCCGCCGGCTGGACCAGTGACGGCGATGGGGTCGGTGTCAACGCCGCCGAGAGGGCACCCGGTGCGCAGCAGAACGCCAACAGCAGCGCGATAAAGGGAGCGACGACTTCGAGCGGGCAGTGTGAGTGCATGGTGGTGAAGAAGAAGAGACAAGCTTGGCGGAACTTCGACAGAGTTTTGGTGTACCTGTGGGCGCGATCGGCGGAGATAGATCAGCTTTCAAATAATTGTTGGTAGGCCTAATCTTCTCTGGATGTTCTGCTCGCAATCGAGCGAGGATTTCTTTTTGTGTCTCAACCAATAGAAACAGAGCGTAGAAGGGCGAAACTTTCTTGGCCATTCTTCACCACCAGGGGGTGCTCAAAGCCTGGAAAAAACCAGGCGTATTGACAGCATTGACATTTGAGCTGCACGCGGGACTCCGGAAGAGAATCAACTTCTACTCCAGCCGGGGTCTTGTTCTTCAGTTTTTTTGGGCCACTCAACATCTGTTCTTCTCTCCAGCCTCCAAGTGACAGATGCACTTCACACCTACTTGTGGTACGGACCATGGCAGCCATTTGGCGCGCGCGTGTGTGGTGTGTGTTCTCATGACTTCAGTGTTCCTCCCAGTGGCTTCATTGGTCATCCTTTGGGCGCTCCTTGCGGGTGCTACGGGGAGCCCGATTAGCGTGGCCAACGTGGACTTCTGTCGGGGTGACTGCGTCGAGAACATGGGCGTCCCGCAGTGTGCCAGTGGAGTCCTCTTCACGAGCCGAATCGGTGCGTGTGTCACGGGCCAGTTCAAGGATTCGACCGCGAATATCTTTACCAGCCTCGTGGTCCACCCCGTTGCGAACTCGTCCAACTACGCGCTGGACTTCTACAGCGCCTATGAGTGCCGCATTCTCCTACAGACCAACGGACCGTGCGTGAGGGACTCCTGCTGTCCCACCTCCTTCAGCATTGGTTGGGCGGCGGTGGGCAGCTTCATTGTTCGCAATGTAACGGCTTCTCCCCGTGGCGAAAATGCCCCCATTCGGCTCAACTGAGGCCTCCTTTGAACACCACCAGGGTAATAAATCTTATGGAGTTTTTTGATTGGCAGTGCTCAGGGACGAACATGGCCTGCTCATCGAGGGATCTCTGGACGAGCCACGGATCTGTGCTTGCTCGGATTGACGTGCTGGGATGGATGAGTTTGCACATGATGAACGTTTATTTTGTGCCCACTTTGCGTGGGGTTGGAAGCCGAGGTGCTCGCGGAGCACCGCATTTGACCTTGCATGCGAGAACATGGAGGAGGCGCTGGCGACACCACAACTCGTTCATGAGCTGTCGAGATGGATGGGCGACGTGGAGGTGGTGTCGTCGAGGTGGGTGTGCCGCACCTGGCGCGACGTCATGCCGAAACCCGAGCTCGAGCCCGAGCATTGTGCCTTCGAGCTGGTCGAGCGCAATCACGCTCAAATCCTCGAGTGGGCGATCGGACGGGGTGCGGGATCGATGTCGCCTGGTGCGAGCGGTTCGCGCTCAGGCAGGGCCATCTTGAGGCCGCCAAGGTGATGGTGTCGGCGGCCGGCTTCCGGTTCGGATCGTGAAACACGGCGTTGCAACACGGTCACTTCGAGATGGTCCGATGGCTGCGCAAGGAGCACGGCACGCTGTATTTGTCGGTTGGTTGGATTCAACAGAACCGAAAAACGATGTCGGAGCACTTCACGTTGACGCGGGAACGGGGAGGTGACGGCGGAGAGGCCGGGCCGGCTGGAGCGGGCGGTGCGAGTGGGCGGTGACACGGTGGGTGCCGGCCGAGGGACCCTGGCTCGGCCAGGGCCACTGGCGGCGGTGGGCGTGGACGCGCTGGAGCAGCAGCAATAAACCCTAAGAGCACTTTTTCGTTTGGATCCGCAGTGGTGATGCTCGGGTCGCGGCTTGGTGGGGGATCCTGGGATCCGAGTGCTTGAGACACAACCAGTTTTTGCCGATGCTAACGACAGGTTATTTGGGTGGGGGTCGGCGAGGGTGGTGTCAACAACAGTTGGCGGTGGCGGTGAGGATGCGGTGTCGCGGACTAGATCGAGGGCCGTCGGTTCGTGGTTGGTTGGTTGTGGCGTGGCACCAACGGGTGTGGCGCGGATCGTGGGGCGTGCCGATCCGGTGGTTCCGAGATGGGTGGCACTGTGCGCACAACAACGTTCGGGCGGTGGCGGTGGCGTTTTGCCAGATGGTTTAGGGTTAGGACACTCAAGGTTTAGGGTTGTTTGGGGGGGTGACGGCACCGACCGAGGCCGGATCTTAGGGTTTGGGGTGAGGATCCGAGGGCGGACCTTAGTTCCGTGACAATGACCGGTGGTGTGTGGTGGCCTCCCTCGTTCTGAGACAACACCTCGGATCGTTGGGGGGGGGTCATGATCCGGCTCAATCACTCTCTCGGTGTGCTGCCACTAGGGTGCTCAGTGATGTGTGTGAGTGATGCTTTGTTTATTTCATCACAATTAGGGGGGACACCGTGTCTTCCACCTGTCCACACCACCAGGACAAAGAAATTTTTTTATTATTAAAAAATTGTGAATTGAAACTACAAGATGGCCAGCAAAGAGAGCAGTCTGACACCAGGCTGTACCAGGTAATAGTGGAATGATGAATGGTGATGTAATACTAATGACTGTTCACAAGGCATGATGAAAGATGAAGCCATAGTAGAGCCCCTTTAGCTCAAAGGTGGTAGCCACACCAGTTGTGGGGTTCATGGTGAAGTAGACTAGTTGGTTGCCTCCACCAAGGACCTCCTCACACAGATCAGGATGGGTGGCTGCTCATCATTCAATGGGTAAGTGAGAAGCAGATCATCATCCACCAACCCCAACAGGGGCAAAACAAGAGACAAGGGAACGCACAGGAGATGGCCACTTGAAGGATCAGCTGGTTGGGGTCCTTGTTGAAGGCCTCATAGTAGTCCAGGAGGGCTGAGAAGAATGGGGTGGTGCCATGCCCAATGTAGATGGTGATGAGCACCCTTGTCCTGTTGGTCTCATCCTGAATCAACCTCACGTCCGCAGTGATTCCTGGCGATCATCAATGATGAGGACTCAAAGGAGAACGCACACTCTGCATGGGATGGATGTGGATACCTTGGAAGATTGGGGGAAGCGGGTCAGTGTTGTACGCCTTGTACGATCCAACAATGTTCTGGGGATGGGGCGGGAGGGCAGGAGGGACTTGAACTTGGCTCAGAAGCTGAGTTAGTGGAGGAACCAGCACAGCGTTCGCCTGTAGCGCTGCAGTAAGTGCCGGTCCACCAAGCCCGCCTGTATTCACAGTTCGTGCATGTGTTAGGGTGAGGTGCATCCTGACGGGCAATGGAGGGGGTCCCAGTGCGTACCATTCATCAACACCGCTACGCCAAGCTTGAGTTCGGGGATCATCATTATTTCAGCAGTATAGCCAAACACCGCTCCGCTCTGATTCACATTCACACGGGTTACCCTGCGGCCATCATTCAAGAGAGATGGGTGTGGACGCGCTGCACCTTTCCCTTTTGCCAGTAGTTTGGGTTTCCTGGATAGGTCAAGAGTAGATTCTCCCAAGGCATGCCCATGGAGGTAAGCTGAAAGA